TTCCTGTTGTTTACACACAAGTCACTCTCCTGTTGTTTAAAACACAAGTCACTCTCCTGTTATTTACAGATTTCAGTAATTTTGCGCCCTTTTTTTCCCATTAAGAAATATATTGCTGTATTTTTTCCCCAGAAGGGTCAAATTTAAAATGTCATTACAAATTTTCTTTTTCATTTACGTCTATGTCAAATTACATTTTAAATTTATCGCTAAAAAAACCCCCGCTTTTAAACCCAAATAACCCCCTTTCAAAAAGTCTGGTTTTGCCAGAGGAAACCCAATTACTTTCTTGTTTTTTTCCCCCGACTCCGCAACAGATAAAATTCATTCCTCCTTTTCAGGGCTGGGGGAAGGACATTCCAGTGCGGGAAAAAACTAATGGTTATCATAAACCATAGTTTTTAAAATGGGGGGAAAAGGGGGGGGGCCGAGGAAGGCTTCGGTCTGAGGGACAAAAAGCTTCAATGGGGGTCATCATCATGAAAAAAACCGGGGTTTAATGTTGGTAGAATTCCGAAAATATGTTAGAAAAGAACACAAATGTTTTTACCCAAAAACCCCACTTTAAAACTTGCGTCGGAAACCTCTTGTCCCGTTTCCTGACAAAACCAATTAACTCTCGTGCTTTATTTCCTATTTTTTTAGCACTTGCTAAAACGAAAAGTTTCAATCATTTATATCTGAAATTTTTGTCTATCTTTTGGTTCGCTTGTATTTATTGGAACATTTTTTTGATGTTATTTAAACCCGGAGTCATCAATGTTCGTTTTTGTTTTGCTTTTTACGTTTTTCCAATTTGCAAAATTTCCCGGGACGTGGGGAAGTTTTTTAGGGGTGGGGAACGTTTGGGGGTTTAGGGGTCCTGGTACATGATTTGTATCGGGGTCTTCTAGCATGAACCGGGCAAAAGCCCTGACGTTTCATGGTTTGGAACCTTCCCCCAAAAAAGGTAGGGTTTCCCTTTCCCCCGAAAGGGGGAAGGTTCCCGCCACAAAAAGGTGGTAGGATCCCCTTTCCCCCCCGGGTTTTTCCAGTCAGCATAATTAGGTCATATCTTAGGGGTTAATCTATGTTAAAAAAGTCCTTTAACATACAGTGAACCCTTTAGATCCACAAAAACGAAGATTGGTCTGGAAAATCAATCCCCTGGCCCTTTTAAAAAAACTTTTTTGTCGGGCCCTTTTATTTTATTGTCAAGGCTACAAAAAGTGGCTGACAAAAAGCAAATTTTTCCCCCATCTTGAATATATTATAGATAATTGTTTTTTCTCAAATTAACTAGCTTTTTATTTCCTTTAAGCCCAAATTTAGCATTTTCGTTGATAGGAGGGTGAGCATAATGGGGGGGAAAAAAACAGGGTTTGCTTTTCATGGCGGGTAGAAGAAACTGCGGCAGAAACAAGGCGGGAAGGGAAATACCAAGGGGGGAGTTTTTTTTTTTTAAAAGTCAGATAAGCGTCCCCGGGGGACCAGACCCAAATTTGGGCCAAACGGCCTTCACGCAACCCAAAACCTACTGAAAAAACAAGGAAAAAAACCCGCCCCAGGAGTTCGAGACGCCCGCAAAATTTTAGGATCCCCCAACCCGTGACGGTATGCCGAATTACCTTTTTTGGGTGTGGAAAAAAACCCGGGGGGAACACAAATCAAACAAAAAAAAAAAAATAAAAGGGCCAAAAAGACTTCCTTACGCGGGTCCAAATTGCGGGGCATTAAACCATTTGGCCCAAAGGGCACTCCCTAAGGCCTGGTTTTCAAACCCAAGGGAAGGCAAACCCGCCAGCTCCGGGGAAACCCCTCCCCACCCCAGCCCCCGGGTCTCCGCCTCAGGGACCCTCGGGTTTTCGAGGTCCCCTTGTTGCCCCCCCCCGTGGGCACCCCCTCCTTTTTTTTTTAAATCTCTCTATTTCCTTCCAACTTTTCAACTTTACCTTTATTTCAAATTAAACACCCTTTTTTTCTTATTTTCCTTTTCTCTTTTCCCCTCTTTTTTCCCCTTTTTACCTACATGAAGGTGTATCCCTCTCATTGTTATTCACTGAGAAGGTATGTCTCTAGTGGATATTCATGCCCCGTGTGTTCTCATGTATATACACTAAGAGGGTTATGACTGTTTTATATATAATGACAGTCTATTTTTAATCTTTTTTTTAGGGATTTATGCATTCTTTGACTGGTGGTATTGGAGTGACTTTTCAGAAAGGTTTTAATTTCAAACTAGATATGTCTAGTCACTGCGGTATCGAGAAAGGTATCCCCCCTCAACAACCCACCCCTCTCTACTTCACTGCTGAAAAAGGAATAGTCAGGTGTGAATTATTTTCTAATGTGCTAACTATCAGGTTAAAGATGGAAGACAACCCCACAGAAAATGCTATTTTTAAAATCAATCGTCGTGGCACCCAGACCCAAAAATTTGAAACTTCCCACTAAAACCACCCCAAAAGAAGGGCTTTCTTGTTATCCCGGGGACCATCATGGGAAAAATGACATGGGTGTTGAGGGAGGGAAGGGACAGTTTAAACGTTTTCCCTCGAGGATGCGATAGTGATGGAGTAGACTAGGTGAAGGCGTCAGCAGTTTTGACTGAATTTCCCTCATGGTGGGAACCCATACATCCTGGCGTGCCCAGAATGCCCAGCGTCGGGGAAAAAATCCCCGGATACCGCACCGAACCGGAGAGGGAACAAGAAGGGGAAATTTAGGCACGCAGAGGGGAATAAGATCCCCACTTGTGCTACGGGAAACCGTAAAAATTGAAAGAAAAGAAAAATATAGGTTCTTTCAACAGTAAAAATTTTGATTTGTTTTGGAAATATGTAGTATGTTTTATTTATATATTATATATATATATATATATTTATATATATATTATTAAAATTATATTTTTAAAAATATTTGACAATTTTGAACATCTCTCTGTTTGACAAATTCGAACATTCTCTGTCTATGTGTTTATCTTTGAAAATCTGCAACTTTCTCTTTCTCTGTTTCACCTCGTATCTCCATGATGCATCTCCTCCCCGTCCGGTGTCTTGGAAGTGAAGGTGTCGTACAGGAATGGTAATAATGGCTGTTTGCCCCTTTAGCAGCACCCAGATCACCCCCTTGTTACCTTCGTGTTGATAACTTGCTGCTCCTTCTTTACACGCTGTACCCAAAATCTGGTTCCCCCCTGCGTGCCTGTGCAGCTAATCCTGCTGCAGTGTCCTCTTCTTCCTGCAGAGCTGCTTTGCCGAGTCCCTGTGCTTACAGGTGGGCTTAAGTGGTGGAAGAGGGGAAGCAAGATGGTGTCTTTAAGTAAACAAACCGTTGAAACCGTAAAACTGTTATACTTTTAGATTTTTTTTTTTCAGGGTTGACTTTCTGAAACTGCAATCGTTAGAATAAATTTGAAAGTGTCTATCTTTCAAATTCATGAAAAAAACGTGATTTTTAAAATATTTTGTGATGTTTAATTAAACATTTAATAACACTTATCAATTTTTTAGAAATGAAGATGTTCTGTAAGATAAACTTATAAAGTGTGGCTCTAAAATAATTATAAAGTGTGGCTCTAAAATAATTTATAAAAAAGTGGCTTAAGTAATTTTTTATAAAGATGTGGCTGTAAAATAAACTTTAAAGATGTGGCTGTAAGTAAAACTTATAAAAAAAGTGGCTCTAATAATCTTTTAAAGAAAACTGGCTGTTGTAAAAAAATTCTTTGAAGATTTTCTTACAGAAGAGAGAAAGAATTTTCAATTCTTGGGAGAGTATTTACCCCTTCCTCCTCATATAGTGCTGGGTACACAGGGTTTGGTTTGGTTAGGTTTGGTTAGGTTAGGTTGGTTAGGTTTGTTAGGGTTTGGGTTAGTGTTTGGATTAGCAGTTGGGTCGTTTTAAGATAAAGGTTGAGTTGGATATGGGAGGAGAGTGGTGGGTTAAGATTGGGGTTAGAGGAAGCGAATGAAAACAGCTGTGGACATGTCTTTATAAAATTTTTATATATATAATATATATTTATATTATTATATAATATATATTTTATATATATTTTAAAATATATAGGCTTTAAAAGAGAAAAAATTCAATGGCTTGACTGGGCACTAAAACACTAGATAAAACTAAGTAAATTTCACTAAACTAGTAGGTAATTACATTTTAAAAATGAGTAATTAACTAGAAGTAGCTAAGTAATTACACAGGGAAAAGCTAGATAAATTTAAATAAAAATAGCTAGTTAAAAACACTAGAACTAGTAGTTAAATATTTCAAAACAACATGGGTATTTCTAAAAACTAAAATCAATAATAAAATCTTGTCAGTTTAATTTGTTATTTCCCCCATTAATTATGCAACAGGTATTAGCAAGCACACATTAAATTTTCTAACCCGTCATTAGGGAATTAAGATCACAGAAATTAACAAGCAACTCAGGTGATTAAGACCCCCTAAGGGTCATTAACAATATCCTAAATTTAAAAAATGGTGGTAATTAACTGTGTAATAAGGTAATTAGGGATATTATTAATTGGTTTTTTGGTTTGATTAAATTTTTAGCCAAAAATTGGGTACACACACCACACCACACACACACCACACACACACACGTCAACAGATATATAAACATGGACAGACTGATATAAAGACACAGATGAACTCACATATAGGCATACAGACACGCACAGAGAGAACGTACATAAACACACACAGAGACCTACCTTCCTGTGTGTGTAACATGGATGACAACAACCATCCAGGGAGGAACTACCTTCCTGCGTACACATGTACGTAATACAAGCAAGGAGCTCTCTCATAAGAACATAAGACAGGAGGAACACTGCAGCAGGCCTACTGGCCCATACTAGCTAAATCCTTCTCAAACCCAAACCCAATAACAAAATATTCGCCCAATCCACTGTCAATGTTACCCAATAAATAAACCCACATAGAAAACCCACTCATACCCTACACCCAAATATTATTCTCCTGAGAGATATCAGTCCGTCAGCACCTACCTGTAGGGAGAATCTCCTGCCGAAGTGTCGAGCCTTCATCATCTCTGAGACAGTGGAGGGATGGGGAGAGAAGCAGCCTCCACACAGTTCCATCCAGGGAGGAGGATAGTATTATCTAGCCGCCCTTCCTATCCTCACATACACACACACACCTGCTGGTAGACGGCACGGTGTTAGTGTTTGTGTGTGTGTACTCACCTATTTGTATCACCTATTTGTGGTTGCAGGGGTCGAGTCCTAGCTCCTGGCCCCGCCTCTTCACCGGTTGCTACTAGACCCTCTCTCTCCCCGCTCCATGAGCTTTATCAAACCTCGTCTTAAAACTGTGTATGGTTCCTGCCTCCACTACGTCATTTTCTAGGCTATTCCACTGCCTTACAACTCTATGACTGAAGAAATACTTCCTACTATCTCTCTGACTCATTTGTGTCTTCAACTTCCAATTGTGGCCTCTTGTTTCTGTGTCCCCTCCTGGAACATCTGTGTGTGTGTGTGTGTGTGTGTGTGTGTGTGTGTGTGTGTGTGTGTGTGTGTGTGTTGTGTGTGTGTGGTGTGTGTGTGTGTGTGTACTCACACTAGTTGTACTCACCTAGCTGAGGTTGCGGGGATCGAGTCAAGCTCCTGGCCCGCTCTTCATCGGTTCGTTACTAAGTTACTCTCCCTAACCGTCCAGCTTTATCGTACCTCTGCTTAATAGCTTGTATGGATCCTGCCTCACTACATCGACTTCACCAAATTTCACTTCTGATACTCTGTGGTGAAGGAATACTTCCTAACGTCCCTGTGATTAATCTGTGGTGTGTGGTCTGTGATGTGTGTGTGTGTGTGATGTGTGTGTGTGTTAGGGTGTGAGTGTGTGTGTGTGTGTATGTGTATACTTTGTGGTTGCAAAGGTTGAGTCACAGTTCTGTCCCGCTGCTTTGCTGGTCGTTATTAAGTCACTACCTGATCATAAGCTGTATCGTGTACTCACCTAGAACCTGGTTGCAAGGGTCGAGTTACGCTCCTGTGTGTTGTATACATCGCAGAAAAAATTATAAAGTTTCAAGGAAATTTCTTCCTGAAATTATGACTAAAATATCAAAAATTTAAAGAAAAAACATTCAAAAAACTAAAAACAGATTAAAACACACATTAAAAACACCTAAAAAACATAAAAAAGACAAAACATTTAAAACACCAATAAAAACAGAGAAATAGATTAAAAAATACATTAAAACACCAATAAAACAGAGAAATAGATTAAAAAATACATTAAAACACCAATAAAACAGAGAAATATATTAAAAAATACATTAAAACACCAATAAAACAAAGAAATAGATTAACACATTAAAACACCAATAAAACACAAACGCAAGAAATAAAACATAAACAACAAAACTTATAGACAAAATCTAAAGTCGTCTATTTTATGGAACAGAAATTTTGTACAAAATAATTAATATAAGGAAAAAAATCGCCGGTCCTAAAAAGTTATATTGTTAATTAACAAAGAAATTTTTTAAAAAATATCGAAAGGTGTATTTCTCGGTGTATATACACTGTGTGTATACTGTATGTACACAAAGTGTGTGTGTATATATATCAGTGTATATACACTGTGTATATCTCAGTATATGTGCACTGTGTGTATATCTCAATATCAATATCTCAATATTAATGTATGTACACTGTGTGTATATATCAGCGTATATACACTGTGTGTGTATATATCAGTGTGTATATATGTGTGTGTATATATCAGTGTGTATATATGTGTGTGTATATATCAGTGTGTATATATGTGTGTGTATATATCAGTGTATGTATAGTGTGTATATATCAGTGTATATACACTGTGTATTTATCAGTGTATGTACTCTGTGTGTGTATATATATAGTGTATGTCATTAAGTACGTGTGTGTATGTATCAGAGTATGTACACAGTGTGTGTATATATATCAGTGTATATACACTGTGTATATCTCAGTATATGTGCACTGTGTGTATATCTCAATATATATACACTGAGTGGTGCACACCAATGTATATACACAGAGTGGTGTTTTATTCTATAAACAGTCTTACTTATTTTCTGGCAGGAATGCTCAGCCATCCTCCCCCACACTGAAGATATCGTACCGCACCGCCACCACACTGTGGAGAAAATATCTTCGATATTACCTGTGTTAAGCACCTGGATATTACTGTATTTAATATCTGGATTTACTGTATTTAATATTGGATATTACTGTATTTAATATCTGGATATTACTGTATTTAATATTGGATATTACTGTATTTAAATCTGGATATCTGTATTTAATATCTGGATATTACTGTATTTAATATCTGGATATTACTGTATTTAATATCTGGGTATTTTCTGCATTTAATATCTGGATATTACAGTATTTAATATTGGATATTACTGTATTTAATATCTGGTATTACTGATTTAATATCTGGATATTACTGTATTAATATCTGGTATTACAGTATTTAAAATCTGGATATTACTGTATTTAATATCTGGATATTACTGTATTTAATATCTGGATATTACTGTATTTAATATCTGGATATTACTGTATTTAATATCTGGATATAACTGTATTTAATATCTGGATTTTCTGTATTTAATATCTGGTATTACTGTATTTAATATCTGGATATTACAGTATTTTAAAATCTGGATATTACTGTATTTAATATCTGGATATTACTGTATTTAATATCTGGATATTTCTGTATTTAATATCTGGATATTACTGTATTTAATACTGTATTACTGTATTTAATATCGGATATTCTGTATTTAATATTGGATATTACTGATTTAATATCTGGAATTCTGTATTTAAATGGTATTCTGTATTTAACATCTGGATATTATGTTTTAATATTGGAATTTCTGTATTTAATATCTGGATATTACTTATTTAATATCTGGATTTCAGTATTTAATTCTGGATATTACGTATTTAATATCTGGAATTTTGTATTTAATATCTGGATATTATGTATTAACATTGGATATTACTGTATTTAACATTGGATATTTTGTATTTAATATCTGGATATTACGTATTTAAAATTGGTTTTACTGTATTTAAAATTGGTTTCGTATTTAAAATCTGGATATTTCTGATTTAACATTGGATATTCTGTATTTAATATCGGATTTACTGTATTTAATTTCTGGTATTATGTATTTAATATTGGATATTACTGTATTTAATATCTGGATATTATGTATTTAATTCTGGTATTCTGTATTTAATATCTGGAATTTTCAGTATTTTTTTTCTGGATATTACTGTATTTAAAAATTGGTAATTTCTGTATTTATATCGGATATTACAGTTTTTAAATATTCT